AAAATTAAAATCTAATTTTTATCCATAGAACCTTTTTCCGTTTAATTTTTCAGTTAAATTTTCATGGGAATTGTGGTCAACTATGCCGTTGGATCTTTAAAAATAGTGAACGAAATGTAGAAAATCATCTCAGCATCTGAACAATATGTATGATAATGCGGCATAATACAATTTTGTACAGTTCACTGTAGTCCACTCAATAACGTTTTAAGGTTATTGAAGATAGTCTTATGATGTGAATGTACGTATATTAACTAATTATCCATGTGATTGCGAATGATGAGCGAATGCGTGTGAGGAGTAAATTTGAATATTGACAAGTATTTTGATATCGTATTAATTATTAACAGTCTTAATACACCATGTACTGTCGAATACTATTGTAAATTTTAACAAATGAATGAAATGTTTAAACTCATTACTTATTAAATCAGTATACAACTTAGAAAAACGTTGCGGAGAATTGTGGTTCCCACACGTAGGTCATCTAAAAATAATAACGACAAAATTTTCAATATAAGAGAATATTATGAATTGATTCAATGTACCAAATTTAAAAACATGGAGCACACTTAGTGTACAGTTGTTATAATGAGTCGTGTGATTGTTAATTTGAATATTGTAACTGGCTTTATCAATTGCGGTAGGATAATTTCTTTTTTGTCCATTAAGTACATCTTCAAAATTGATCGGTTACTGAATATAGTTATACAGAACAATAATTGTGGTTTAACGTTTACATGACACTGTGTCAATGAACACTGCATGAAGTAAGGTTGAGGCTACTCCCTTAAATGAAGTCGTAGGCTTCCACGGCCAGGTCTTGGCCGTCCGGGGGACGCCGCGCCGTGTCGAAGGTTGTGACGCGAAATATTACTTCCTTAAGTATTCTATCAACCTGAGAATTTGCGAATGAAATTACCGAAATATGAAATTCACATGCGAATATTTTATTTTGAAAACTAGCGGATGTAAACAGGCATTGCCTGGACTTCTATTTATTACAATCATGCATTACGTAGTGAAAGAAAGTGGATCTCTAGTGTGAAGTGGATGCAATTATATTTTCAACCTTGCGCCGCCTGCAACTTCTTTCCGCTCTACGTTACTACCAACTACTTGCCTTCTACCTTAATTGTTCCATCCCCGCCACCGCCCTGTCTGATCCCACGCCTCTTTTCAATTTTGACCTTCAGTTACTCGAATGTGACGAATTAATCCTTCAGAATGAATCAAAATGTAATTTTAACAAAAAAGGGAATTTCGAAAAAAAGCATGTGCACTTTGGTCGATTTCCATCCCGTTTTCGCGATATATTGAGGGAGTGCGCACAGAAATTCTTCAGAAGGAGGAGCTTTAAAAGAAAAAAACTTGAACCAGAAATGTTTGAGAAAATCTCGTCTTAAAAAATATTACGTAAGCGGCATGTAGCGAAAAGTAACTAATGGCAATGCAAGGCATACTGAAACTGTTTTTCCTATTTATGACATCATTGAAAGATATGTAATTGTGACATGCATTGAAAAAGAAGCCTGTTTTTAACATTAATTGTGTATAACAAGTTCGAAAAGTAAACTTTTGTAATTTTCAAAATACTGGAGGTTTAAAAAAAATTCAAAACTGTACCAAATTTATAAATGCACTTTCCTCTATTCGAATAAAATATTTTTGAAAACCTTTGCAGTCATGCTGCCGAAAGTTTTGAAACTTTCAGGGGGTTTCAAGTTAATTAAGTAAATCCAAAAATATAAATATTGAATGAACTCCGGAACAGCAGTACTAGATATACTTACGACATGTTTGCCAAGTTTTACCTCAAACACTTCTAATATGGCTGAGTTGTGCGTGACACTTTCATGCATCCATCCATCTATCTATCCGTGGGTACATAAAATACGTAGCGATGTTCGGGTAGAAAATTCCGCGTATCCCTTCGATATCTGTATTGTCTTTGAAAGAATACTAATATACATTATTCCCGACGTACGAAGTTAGAGACCTAAAGAACCCTAAATGCGGAGTTTGCGTTAAAACGTTTGAGATTTTATGTTGATGTGATTCGAAATACTTTTTCTCTCTACAATATAATAGAGTACAAATGTGAAAAGTAGTAATGTAATCAGGATAAGATAATACAGAATTTCCACAGCATGTATCGTAAAACAACGTTTTTCGTTGAAAACACTACGCAAGCTATATCTTTGACGTGTTAAAATCATTTTGCACGTTTTTTTACAAGACTACGATAATAAAAGTGGTTCCAAACTGTGAGAGCAGAATATGCTGACTGTAAATTCCCATAATGACACATCCCCGTGATTTGCATTAGTGCCACTAGAGCTGCCCATCGACCACTGGCTTGTTCATATAATTAAAATATCGAATAAGTTTAGCTAATAGGACTCACACAGATTTAGAGACAACATGATGTTGCATCATGGGAACGTAAGAGTTAGCACCGACTCCATGTCGGCAGAGTTAGGCACAAATCTCTTATTGCATTCGATTGCACCGGTTGGCGTTCGATATAAACCGCCCTCTAAAGCCGGTGGATAGGCGGGCTCCACCACCCCTTGGAGTGGGCGGGTGCGCACCAGCTCGAAAGTGGTTCGTGCGCAGTAGCTCCGCGCGTGCAAAAGCTCCCTCCGCGCGTACGCGGGAGCTGGGGCGGCCGAGACGCGGCGGAAAGCGGCAGCAGCGCCTGTGACGTCAGCGCGGTGACAAGCCAGTTGCGCGAAGAGTGTCGCCAGAGCGGCAGCAAATAGCAACGGCGGTCGTGACGCCAGAGGCGTTACGCGAAAAAACGATGACGCCAGCGGTGACGGAGCCAACGGAGGGAGCAAACCGAAGGAGACACGTTCGTTGCTACGGAATGAAAACCCCGAAAACTTACTTGTAGAATTTGGAAAACGAGTTAGTCCAAACATACCGCACTTTGTTAAAAATTGATTCTCAATAGAGAATACATGAAAGGTGAACCCCGTTAATTGGACTGCCGTAGGAGTTACATGTGGCTTGCGGTCGTATTATTCCTCACGCCCCGTGCGCCACATATGGTTTACAAGTTGTATTTCGTTTCAGGCCGCGGGAGCCACCTGGTCAGATACAACTTCAATCTAGAGGCCTCATGAACCACTTGCATATCACAGATGAAGCTCATTTCTCCACGTTTCACCGGGGGTCATCACGTTATTGCTCTATGGGTTATCTAAGTGTTGCGCAACCATGTAACCTAAACAATTGCCGCCACTATTTTTATGCTCAATTACACATATTTTAAACTGAAAAGGTTATTAAAGTACTGCTTTATAAAGTTCAACATATTATTACTATAAAATTACTACTGAATGACTACTACATTTATTAAACAATCATTTCGTTTAACACGTCAAAATATCACTAAAATATTTGTAAAATTTTCCCAAAATTTTATTAATGTTACTTTTATTTTAAAAGGAAGTTAAGACATCAAAATGGAACGTTCATCGCAGAGAAAGTGGTAGTTGTTACAAACTGGGGGAGGAAGGGAGGGATTCAATACAAACTAAATTTCACAAACGTATTTTAAACGACTGGAAAGCAAGCGGACGGTGGGCGGAACTAGAGTACTCCAAATTCACATTCAAGAGAACACGTCCGTTAACAACCGAATATTTCACTTACCAGAGGCATACACGCTCGAACTGATTCCTATGCGTTCTGGCGATCAGGAATGAATTTCGGAGAATCTAAGAAGATGAAATATTTAATTATTCTTTTCCACCGAGCCATTTAACATAGGCCTAGATAAACTGTTTTGTTAGATTATGAACGTAACTTCCTTCAGAATATATCTCATTCAATTCTCCAAAATGATGACGAATCAAAACAATGGTTGATTGTGTTTGCCAAACACGAACGTAACCTCGCCAACTCGAATGAAATGTGCGTTTTCTTTTGGAAATTGATCATGTGTCAAACCTCGCTCTGAGATAGCGGATTTACCCTTTTTCTTCTCTTTATTATCTCATATTTGGAGGCCAACTGCAGGTGCGGTCCAAGGCAGCGAGTGCGACCACCATCGTTCCGCAGAGGCAGCCGTCCGTCCGCTCTCCGACTCTTCTCCCGCCGAACGTCCATGCACTCTTCAACAGTACGAGCAGTGGCGATTTATCGCATCGGCAAACTCGGCAGCCTCCGGGGGCCTCGGTTTCCCAGGGAGTCTCAAAATAGTGAATACAGCTCTCCCACAATTATATTATACTTTAATCAAAGATACCAGTTTCACGGCTTAGAGCAGATCGTAGTGGCACGCGAGAGTGCAAAACCTTTCAGACGCGGGTTCTCTTTTGATTCTTAGTTATCACATCTTAATTTAGATAACAGTGGTGAGTGTCTGCAAATATCTTGAAACGCCTTTAAAAACAGCGGAAAATAACATAATATTGACACCATAACCTTTGTAACATGACTAATCTTTTTTATTTGTATTTGAAATGAAATATAACGTGATGTTAAGGCACGTCATAACACACTTTTTGATAGCTCCTGTTCTTTTTGTAGAATAATACAATTTTTGAACATGTGTAGTTACTTTGGTCATTTAAAAATAATGACCAAATAAATAAATGAAGACCATGAAACTTGTCATTTCAATCAAATTTGGATTTTGATTTGGAAAAGTGCCCTGCATTTTCATAAAATTCAGTATGCCGAGCCCCACAGGTCAAGCGAACTTCAGTGGAGGTGTAGCTTTAGAGGTAAAATGAGGTAGTTTTTGAGAAATTTTCTTCTTCGTTATTGCTCAGTTAATTAATACTTATACAACTTTTCTCGCTCCATTGAATGGAAGTAATGTTATTTGTTCATTAATGAATGCAATAAACAAATACCATTCCAACCTCAGTTCGCCCTTATTTATCGGTAGGAGTGCAGGTACAATGAGTGCAGAGGGGTTCTCAAAGCGGCCCTCGGTGCTTGAATCGCCGCCGCGAGCGTCTGAGGGGCGGGGCCTGTTGCAGCAGCCGGCGACGGCGGCCTGGTGTTCGGCATCCCGCTGGCGCAGTGCCTGGAGAACGACCCGCGCGGGCCGCGGCGGCGAGATGCGGCGGTCGGCGCGGGCCGCGCGCAGCCGGGGGCCGGAGGCTGGCGCGGCGCGCCCCGGCCCGACCGCGGGCCGGCGCGGCGGAGGCGCCGGGGGCTGCGCCGCACCTCCCACCACGCTCGCGCGCCAGCTCACCTCCACATCCCGAGAATGGCCACGGGGCCGCCCGAAGAGGTAACGCAAGAACATATTCATACAAGTCTCTACAACCAATTAAGTTCCTGGTTTGCTTATCCCTCAATACCTATTGTAAGGCAATATAATATATTTATTTTTTGTAATATATTTCGAAAAAAGCATTTAAATTAATACATTTTTCACAGAAGCGCGCATACACCATCTTAAGGTACAAGGACTCAAAAACCCGTAAATACTTAACTTATTGACGGTTAAGACTGCCCGTTCTTCTCGACCTCGAATTTAAAATATATTGCGGTGGATGAGTTTTTGTCTAGTCCGCAGACATCTAGTAGATTCCTCAATTACTAAGGCAGCTTGATGCAAATGAAACAGCTTCCTTTTTTCTTTTTGATAAGTGTATCAATATTATGTGTCTCAACCTAACCACTACTTTGAAGAACGCGGTTTTCTTTCCTTTCCTTTATCTTCCTCGTGGTGCTTTCGTTCTGCAGTGTGCGTGGGAAAGAGAAAGAAATTATATGTCTGGGTTTTCTCAGCTAAAACAACTAATGATTTTCCCTCTCTTTTTTGTCATTTCTATTATTTTTCATATTCCTAATATTCATTTTTTACGTTTTCGCCTCACTACGTAGTCAGAAGGCGTAGTACTCTTTCGTAGTATAGACAAATTGTAATGATTCGGAAGAAATCGGGAATATTTCGGCAGAAAACTACTATTGTCGAGCCCTGGTAACGAAAAAGTGTATAAATCGTGTTCTGACATGTAGTTAACTGCTTACTTTGACACGTTGTGTAGTCACAATTCAGGGTCCTTGATACCGAACAATCGATTCATGGCAATACAACTGTCTAACGTCAGTCCATGTGTGGTAAACGCTAGCGCCTAAACCTGTAGATGATTTCCTCCTCAGTAATCTTCCCCAAGCAATCTGAAGTTCTGGTTCGAACTCGAGGTCCTGCGAGTACGAGACCTCCCATGAAAGTAAAACGTGATCGACACATTTGCAGCGCTATATACTTCAAAATTTTGAACTTATTTTGTTATACTTTAATTTCAGTGTTATCTATTCCTCATGCTTCATGGTGTATTCTTTTCATTCGTCCTATATTAATTTCTATTATAATTAGAAAGTGATCTCGCAACAGTTAACTTACTCTTAGGAATCGAGCTTAGAACTAATTCCTTGGACCTTGACGTTACAATGTTGTACGCCATATGTTAAATAGTTGAATGACGGAGTATTCAGTCATTACGTCTATGAAAATAGAATATCGTTTGGTAATATGCTCATAAGTTTTCATTTTTGACTTTCTCAACTTTTGGAAATCGCTACTATTTGTAATTAATAAGACTTGAGTGATTGAAACAATTTAGTGCGTGTACACATTTTTGAAAGAATCAACTCTTATTGATTTAATGTCTTCATCCCTTCCTAAATTGCTGAAGAGGCACGTGGAAACCATCTCCAACTTCTCTCTTTTATCACAGTCATTTACTGTATTTAAAGGAAGATATCACTTCTCACACTCAGAAACAAATTACATCAGTTACTGCAATTAAGCAGCAATATACAAGAATCCCAAAATATCTCGGGCACTGTTTGAACTTCTTTCTTCGTAGAATAGTAAACGAATGTCACTAACTCTTGACCTAATTCGAGTCGCAGAAAGGCAAGTACAAATGATTCTGCTAACGTCAATTGATGCCCCAAGATTTAACTGCTGCTCTAAGAGAAAAACGGCAAGGACCCTGGAATAGTTTGAAACTGAACTCGTTTCTTTCCATCGAGAGAGCTATCAATGGCAAGCACGGATTAATCTCAGAGTTCGATCATGCGGAAAGTAGCTTACTAATGAGTGAATGACGAACAATATATGACCTACTCTAGTAGGTCATGTAATAAATCGTATAGAACAGAAGGAAGATTTCAGAGACTAGAATCACGAATTATCAATATCTAAAATATATAAAAATACACTGGTAACGGAGAAACGAGCCACAGAAATACGTGTTCACCATATAATTAACTTTTGTGTGATAATTTTATTATTATTATTATTACTACTATTATTATTATTATTATTATTATTATTATTATTATTATTATTATATTTTGAACGCTTCTACAATAAGAGAGATCAAGCACAAAAAAGTGTTAAGTTTCGTGAACGGTTTTGAATACTGTGTTCAGTGTTTAAGATTTGAGGTTCATTTTCAATTAATTGTAATTGTATGTTAGCTGCTGTTACTGGGAAATTTCGAAAAGGGTGCACAGAAAACGGCACACTAAAAATTTGACAAAATGTGGTTATGTGTTTGAATTTTTGGGCTTTGTACGAATTCTCTACATTAAAAAACTGAACATTTAAAAATAATTTTATCAATATAATTAATTGAAATTTTGCAGACAACAAAATCGAAAACAAATACCCGTAAAAATACTTCGAAACACACCTAGCTCCGTCTCTAAACACGAGGGCATTCCCATCTTCACTTGCATTCTTTGGCCGCGTGATAACTGCTTCCCATTCCCACCGCCCGCAGTAAGCCTGTGGACGCGGGCGAAGAAGGCTCGACCTGGCAACGCGGGGCTGGCATTGCTCGCGGTAACGAAACACCACAAACTTGCGCGGCAGTCGCGCGCCCAGCGCCCCTCGTCGGGCGGGGCGGCGGAACGAAATCTTACGACAGCGCCTCGCCCACGGGCGGCCGCCGCCCACGCCGCCGCCGGGGCGCTGCTTTCCGCTTGGCGCGACGCGTCAAAACACCCGCCGCGCTCGTGACTCGCGCGACCAAATTCACCCACCGCTCGCCAAAACACCTCCGCGGGCGCCTCCAGGAGATAGACGCACGGGGAAAAGCCCTCGATATAGATTAGACTAGGCACCCGCCTTCTACTACATTGCGGTGCAACAGGGGGCGTGCCCTTGGTTGAGCTCAGGTAAGAGAGATCTCATCTCGTCTTGTCAACACAGATGATCACAGTGACAGCATGTCATTGCCATCCACTAGAAGGATGAGGTGTCAATGATGAGAGACAAGTGATTATCAAGACGTAATCAATGAGATTAAACGCGATAAACCCTACACCATCGATGGCAGGTGTTTCACATTAAAACAACTACTAGCGACCTGCGACAGCAAAACTGCAGCTGAACAAACCATACAAAATGATTTTTCGAAAAGAAGTACTTCAAACTACTCTTGTAAAACAGCAATAAATAAAATATTTGAACAAAAACATTCCTCAAGAATACTTTAAAAAAATTTAATAGTATATACACAATACGCCAGTTCTTTATCAACCTAGTGGTGCTACAACAGCATATACTTCCTCACATTATTTCTAAAGTTGGCAATTTTCGGAACTTTAGAGTTAAACGACAATCATACCTGCGCCATTTTAAGCGTCCTTTGTGTTATTCGTGACAAAAATTAGAAGAAAAATTTTGGACTCCTTTTGGAGAAAATGTTTTTATAAATTGCATTAATTGCAGGCATAAATTACGGGAAAACAACTCGTTTTTAAATGTCTGATTTTTGGAACAGATTTTATTGAAGACAATCACTATCTTCAATATTGTATTTTTGAAATGTTAATATTCTGCTATTTCTAAAAATACTGAAAGTTCGTCGAAAGTGGAACAAGTACCACTTTTTGCCGCCCTTCAAAACATACGAGAAAATAATGTAAAAAAGCTCGTATTTTTTTAGGAAGTAAGTGTTTAAATTTGCCTATATTGCATGCAAAATTATGCGAAAAACTTCTAACATGTAAGAAACATATTACATGATTTTGGATAGCAATGTTCTACAAAACGTGAATTATGACTAAACAACTTGTTAGATGAAGTAAATTACTACATATATAAAAAAATAATTATCCACTTTTTTCAGTATCAGGGACCTACGATACGACTTTTTCTGCCCGAAATCGCCCTTTTGCGCTTCGGCTTTAGACAACTTTCCACACCACATAAATAGTAAGCGAGAAGGTGAAACATGAAAAGTCTCAGGCGAACAAGACGTATACATTCACAACGCGTCAGGCACTCGCACCACCTGAAAAATGCAATGGTAGTTTCTAGTTTGCCCTGTCAACCGAACCATAACGAACATCACAATCAAATCGCGACAAAGTATTATTTTCATTTTTCTTTTGTTTTTTCGCCAAAGATGCGAATTGTACAGTAAACATTGGTTCTTGACCAACCACACTATGATTATGATTCTGGGATCCATCAACTTAGAATGTTGGTGACACGTCGCTTATTGGTGTGCTCATTCAACAATTGCAACAATTTTCTCTTTTAAGTGCATGTATTTTGTAAATCATATAATAAGTAATTGGTATACATTTTCATTTTCATAATGTCTATAGCAATATTCTCATAACACTGATCTCTAATTCTGAATTCAGATATCACTTTCTAGGCATCCTTTTGTCTGTGCTTTGACCTATAACTAGTTCATGGCCGGACCCGTGTAAATATAAAATGTTGCGAGGAAAACTTTTGATTTTCATGCCAATTAGTGTACAGTATATGCAGTAGTTATTGTATAATTAATGTGCAAAGTGAGAGATTGTTGGCCTTCTCAGCACAGTTAAAACAGTAATGTTATTTATCTGTTCAATTTTTACCGCTGTCAATTTTATACAAAGTCCATGTGAAGTGAATCCACTAGTCTGAAATGATTTCAGTCCCGTTGATGGCCACGATAGCAAACAATGACAATACTACATGCAACACAGCTCCACCCGGATATCTGAGGACATTCCAAAGTCTGGGAGGAGAATCCAACAAACTCTCCGCCACTGTGCGAAGGCACACTATTTTCATGCACAGCTTTCGTACAGAAATTGGTGAAATCATTCTTGATTGGTGTATGCTGGGAGACGTATCACGTGGGAAAGTCACTAGTTACAGGGAGTTATCGTTGGCGAGACGTATTTTATCACTTCTGGGGTTCTCGGCAATGCGCTTGTCCGCAATCATTTCTCTCTTTTAGCGAGTTCCTTCTATTTCGAATG